GTATACAGCTCCTCCATGGAAGGCAGCTTGGTAGCAATTGTTTTTTATGCAGTCCTAATTATTCTTTGAAGTCTGTGTCTATCCCGTTGGGTTGCAGAGTCAAACCAGACAGTTATAGAGGTGCAGATGACAGACTCCATCATTCCTCTGTAGAACTGGATCAGCAGCTCCTTGGGCAGTTTGAGCTTCCTGAGTTGGTGCAGAAAGAACATTCTTTGTTGTGCTTTTTTTGATGACGTTTTTGATGTTAGGTGTCCATTTTAGGTCTTGTGATATGATAGAACCTAGAAATTTGAAGGTGTCTACTGTTGATAGTGTGTTGTCTAGTATTGTAAGAGGTGGTAATATGGGAGTATTGGAATCTGGCTTCCCCGTTGACTTTGCTTGTCACCAAATGGGATCATATGACCTCAGGACACTACTGCAACCATCGTCACTATGAGTCACTGTCAGTTGCCAAGCATCTGGAATTTTATCACATGATTGTGGAGGTGCTGCAGTGGTCATAAATGTGAAAAAGGGTCGTAAGTCACTTTTTCCCCCCAATGCCATTGTTAACTTTGGACAGCATCCCCATGGTCACATGATCAAAATTCCGTTGCTTGGCAACGGTCTCCTATTCATGATGGTCAAAGTGTCCCAGGATCATGTGATCTTCTGAGAATTAAAATCAAGTGGAGGAACCAGTGTCACTTAACAACCGTGTTGCTAATTCGCTGAATAGTGGCACGGAAAGGTTTTAAAATGGGGCAAAATTCACTTAACCACTGAAACTCGGGGGCTCTATTGCTGTCGTAAGTTGAGGACTGCCCTGTGATGACTTTTCAAATGGTTCAAGTCTTTGCCTTCAGCTGGCCTAAACCAGAGCCAGATACATTAATCACAGAAGCGGCAGCCATAAAAGCCAACGCAATCCTAAGTTGCATGAACAGAGAGATAGAATCAAGATTAAGGGAGGTGCTAATACCATTCTACAAAGCTTTAGTAAGACCAACACCTAGAATCCTGCATCCAGTTTTGGTCACCCGACTATAAAAAAGATGTTGAGACTCTAGAAAAAGTACAGAGAAGAGCAACCATGATAACCAGAGGGCGTGCATAAGCGCACCAGTGTGCCTACCGTCCCTGTCCTTCTGTTCCCATTTATTTGTACTCATTTATTATGTATATACTTATACCAGTTTATACTTATATGTTTATATGTTATGTTCATACTTATACTTGTTTTCTCATACATGCTTGACAAACTAAACTAAATAAAATAAAATAAATAAATAAAACAAATGATTAGGGGACTGGAGGCTAAAATATACGACGAACGGTTGCAGGAACTGGGCATGGCTAGTCTAGGGAAGAGAAGGACCAGGGGAGACTGGATTGCAGTCTTCTGATATTTGAGGGGCTGCCCCAGAGAGGAAGGGGTCAAGCTATTTTCTAAGGCACCCTAAGGCCAGACAAGGAACAATGGATGGAAACTGATCAAGGAGAGATTCAACCTGGAAATAAGGAGAAATTTTCTGACAGGGAGAACCATCAACCCATGGAATAATTTTTCTTCAGAGGTTGTGGGAGCTTCATCCCTGGAGGCTTTCAAGAAGAGACTGGACTGCCGTTTGTCAGAAATGGTGTAGGGTCTCCTGCTTGGGTGGGGTGGGGTGGGGGTTGGACTAGATGGCCTACAAGGTCCCTTCCAACTCTGTGAATCTGTAAGCTCCTAGTTACTGAAAATATTATGCTAAGAGGCTCCCTTATCCTACTCTCATCAGCTGCATTCACGGACCTTCTCCTGTTCAGTTGTGCAGTGGTACTCTGGTGCCTTTGTTGTAATTACTGAGACTTTGCCAGGATGGTGTGGTGTTTTTTTTCCTCTCTCCTCCTTTCCTCTGCCTCATTTATCAACTGTCGCCTCAGGACTGTGCCGCCCTTTGGAAACTTTTGTAGCTAAAGTTAACAGCCCAGTTTTTTTTTCAATTGTCAGCTTGCTCTGTTTTTCCTACGCGGAGACATTCCTTCCTCCTCCTCTGAGCCATCAATCATGGTCTTCTCCGGCCTTAATTCAGTCTCCCATCCGGCCCTTTCTGACCATTTGTGAATTCTGCCTCCATTTGTAAAACTCCAAAAGAATTGCAACTGGAGGCATTTTTTTACAGAATCCATTTGTCTTCCAACGCCGGTGATGAAAAGCCTGTTTGGTTAGTGCAAATTATTACATGAAATGGAAGGGCTGAAGTTGGAAATTACAGGTACTCCAGTCATTTTCAGCCTTTAAAAACTCTAACCCATCAAGGATGCCTTAAGACAAAAAATAATTAAGGAGAGTGTAGAATATTTGAACTAGCCGCTAGGTGTTTTCTATGAGTTAAGGGAGTAGAGAAGAGGTGATAAATTTCTGAACAGTGCCAGGCAGGTTTGGAAGGGAAGATAATCTAGAAACATAATTCATCATGGTATTCTCTGAGCTTGGTTGTTTGCATGCAAATGTTTTGTTACCCAACTAGGAAACATCACTACAAGTGAGTGTGTGGTTTTGTGTTTGTAGAGCAAACTTGCCCTGGAGGTGTTGTTTTCTCCTTGGATATTGTTTTCTGCTTAATTGTTTGTCTGGTGTTAATCCCTGCTTCTTTGGTTTTGGCTGTTGGAGAGGATGGGTGGAATCCTTGATGGTCATTGATCTGCAGGTGTTTTGTTATCCAACTAGATAACACAATCAGTGTGTCTTGGGGCATGGAATTTGTTCCCTGTTTATATAGATATAACTTGTCCTGGCAGTTTTAGTTAAGGTTGGCAGTTACTTAACTGGAGATATAAGTAATTGGTAGTTACTTAACTGGAGGTATTGTTTTCTGCTTGATTGTTTGTCTGGTGTTAATTCCTGCTTATCTGGATGTTGGCTTCTAAAGAGGACATGTTCAGAACTGATCATTTCTTCTCTTCTATTGGGATATATCTGATCTTCATCATTTGCTGCCGTCTTTTGAATATGAGTTTTTTTCCCCTCGTCCCAGGATTTTTCATCCATTCTCTTTCACTCTGTTTGCCAAGCAGCTGTAAAGAAATGGAAGAAAGTAACTCTTAAGTAATTATATAAGCAGCAACCCTTGTTCTTATTAGCCTGACATATCTGATGCCCTGGGAAAGATAATGAGGGCACCCCCTGCCTTTCATTCTCCGGAAACATGGTGGGTTGACTTGACCGAATTTTTGCTCTTTGGCAAAGGGTGGCAGTTCAGGTTTTCAAAGGATGTTTTCAGGAGGGCAGGTTGATGATCAGCCACCATCAAAAGCGATGCACGCACCAATACGCCCTGTACAAACAGGTGATCTTTGAACTATTCCTTTGTGTTGGGTCTTTACTGGGGATGGGGGATGCTAGTGATTCTACGGGCATTGCAACGGACTGATCTTCTCCCAGCAAGCCAAGATTCGATGTTGGTCCTGTAGGGAGAGGTGAATCAGGGCAAGCTTCAAAAGGGTTAGGCTACAAAACAAAAACTACCTGTGGTTTGGTTAGAGAGGTGAGTTGATCAAACTGTGGCACTGTTTGGAATAGACAAGTGGAAAGGGCCATGGAGATCATTGCATTGAAACATTA